ACACCAGTTTGCATTCCCACCAACAGCAACAGTGCAAGAGGATGCCTTTTTCTCCATATCTTGGCCAACACTTGCTGTTTCTTGAGTTTTTTATTTTAGCCATTCTGACAGGTATGAGGTGATATTGTGGGTTTTTTTAAGATTTATTTATTTATTTGAGAGGGAGAGAGAATGTGCGTGTGAGCAGAGGGAGAGAATCCCAAACGAACTCCCCACTGAGCACCAAGCCCAACACAGGGCTCTATCTCATGACCCTGAGATCATGACCTGAGCGGAAATCAAGAGTCCAAAGGCTTAATCGACTGAGCCACCCAGGTGCCCCTCACTGTGGTTTTAATTTGCATTTCCCTGGTGATTAGTGATAAAGCTGTTTTTAAAATGAATAAACAAAGAGCTAGTTATCTCCTTTAAAAAACAGTAACAACAACTTTACGTAAAAGATTTAAAACATGTGGACAAATTCGTTGATCCTCTTCCCATCAAAAGGTCCCTTCCCCTTGAACGTGGGTGGGCATTTGTGAATACCTCAACCAAGAGAATGTGGCAAAGTAATGCTACATCACTTAAGAGGCTAGTTAGAAAAAGCCATGCAGCCTCTCCTGGTCTCTCTTAGGACACTTGCCCTTGGAATCCAGCCATCATGCTGTGCAGAAGCCTGGGCTACATGAAGAGGCCCCTGGCCCTCAGCCCTAGCCAAATGCTAGAATCAACTTGCCAGCCAGCTCTGTTATTAAGCCATATCGAAAGCAGATCCTCCAGCCCCCAGTCAAGCTGCTGCATCTGATGCGGCAGAGAGCAGAGAGCCAAACTTGATAAACCCTACACAAATCGCAGAGTTGTGAGCAAAATAAGTACTTGCCATTATTCTAAGCCACTGAGTTTTAGAGTGGTTTGGTATGCAGCAATTGATAACTAGAATATGTACTTTACATACTTAAAAGGCTAAAAACAGCATCTAGCCCCCTACTCAACGCAGATACTTCTTTCCAGTAAGTGGCCATCCAACCGCTGTCTGAAATCTTTTGACTAATATGGAGATTAGTTCCTCACAAAGCCACTCCTTCCACTGATGAATAACCCCAGGAATTATGATCTGCTTTATAATAAGACCGGTTCTGTCCTGTCCAATCTCTGGTCTGAGTTCTATCTTCAGAGGTGACCATTACTGTCTAACCCCCTTTTGTCAGGACAGGGCTTCACGCTGTTAAACAGTAATCCTTAGCATTGTCCCATTTTATAGCCAAGGAACCTGAAATGCACGAATTGACTGCTTTATCCAAAGTCATGAAACAGACACCAAATAAAATGCAGTTACCTGAATCTCTGGTATAAGGCTTTTGTTTAGTTTTATTTCTATCAAATATGAGACAAATGTAATGGATACAAGATGTGTTGCCCATACTCAAATTCACTTATGCCATCACTGTTTAGAGGATGAATCCTCATTTCTATCATCCAGGAGGAGTACTGGTATGAATAACTGGAAAATGAAAACGACTTTTCCGTACCACTCATCTTTTCCTTGGTTGCACTTAAATATTTCCTGTTTTAACTCAATAAAAGCAGTCAGCTCTTTAAGGGCAGGGATAGTTTTTATAATTTTGAGTCTTCCTTGGTGTTTGAGTATTTATATATTAAATAATTTGCCTAGCCATGAGAGGCAGCATACAGATAAAAAGTGTAAAAGCATTTCTTTCCAAATAATTTAAAAATGGATGGAACTGGAGGGTATTAGAAAGACAAATACCATATGATTTCACTTATATGTGGAATTTAAGAAACAAAATTGATGACCATAGGGGAAGGGAAGGAAAAATAAAATAAGGTAATAATGGACAGAGAGGCAAACCATAAGAGACTCTTGACAACAGGGAACAAACAGACGGTTGCTGGAGGGGAGGTGGGTGGGGGGATGGGGTAATTGGGCGATGGACATTAAGGAGGGCACTTGATGGAATGAGCACTGGGTGTTATATGCAACTGATGAATCACTAAATTCTACCCCTGACACTAATAACACACTATATGTTAACTAACTTGGATTTAAATTAAAAAAAACTTACAATCCAAAAATATTTCTCGTCAGTGTAGTAATTGTACAGTAAGCTTTTCACTTTTTCCAAGGTAGCAGCAATAGAAAATAAGGTTCATACACTGCTGATTACAGTATATCAGTTGCCATGACAACACTTAGTCTCCAAACATCCTGAGACAATTTCTCCTAGCTTCAGTCCCCTAAGACTGACCCAATTACACAACTCCAAACCCAAAACCCAGAGGGTGCCTCTCAATAAAGATACTCTGATTACACAACCTAAGGAAAAATTTAAACACCACTTTTCCAAATTGCAAGGAAACTTTTCAGGCAATGAATTATGTTTTTACATCTAAAGTTGAATGGCAATTGTCTGATGTAACTTTAAAACGTATCTCACTTATGTTCTCTGGGCTATATTTGCATTCTGTTCCTTTTAAGGTACAACTGAAATCTTCTAGGGGCAAGCAAGACCATACTAAACTCAGCAGAAGTATCACTGGACTAATACAGAACATTTGTACACTAGCCTAGACTGGCCTTATGAGAGATAAAGAACTAGAAAAAAAAATCTGTAAAATCATATAAAATTTAGCAGGCTACTATAAATGAGGCACCCTAGAGTGCACTCCTAATAATTCCAAAGAAGGGATGCCTGGGTGGCTCAGTTGGTTAAGCGTCTGCCTTTGGCTCAGGTCATGATCCCAGAGTCCTGGGATCGAGCCCCGCCTTGGGCTCCCTGCTCAGCGGGAAGCCTGCTTCTCCCTCTGCCCTTGCCAGTCCCCATGCTTGTGCTCTCGCACACTCTCTCTCTGACAAATAAAATAAAATAAAAAATTCCTAAAGAAAAAGAAAAAATCCCAAAAAGGTAAAGCAATGTTGGGAAATGTGGTAGCTCCGCTGTCTCAAAATGTAAGCTAGTAATTCTCTTTCTCTAATAGGCCAACAGAGTTTTAAACTGGGTTGTTTTCAAAATATAATGTTCATTTAGTAAGAAAAATTCTGATTAGGTGAGTTGATCAATATTTTAACTTTTATTATGTACAGACCCAGAAGCATGAGCTTATTTTACATATCCAGTAATATGTCTTACACCTCTACAACTACAGTACCTACTAGTGTTCCCCAAAAATGCTCTCTGTAAGCTCAAAACTGTCTACAAATGAAAGTTTACATGCTCATATGGGGGAAAAGTTTAGATGCTGGTGTCCACTATTCAATTTTTCGATGCGTTTACTTAGCCAAAAAGCAAAAGAAAAAAAAAATCACAGAACACATCCATGTATCTAAAAGGAGAAAGGGGCGCTTGGGTGGTTCAGTCCGTTGGGCCTCTGGCTCTTGATTTCGGCTCAGGTCATGATCTCAAGGTGATGGAATTGAGTTCTGCACTGGGCTCTACACTCAGCCTGGAATCTGCTTGTCCCTCTCCCTCTCTCTCTCTCAAATAAATAAATAAATAACATCTAAAAAAATAAAAAGAGAAAGATTAACACATGAGATTCTAACCTGAACATGTTAATAAAAGTTAACTGTAAGACCATTTATTACAAAGTAATGAGTCAAAGGGCAACTGAGACTACTCTAAATAAAAAAATAAATAAAAGCACTTTAGTTTTAGCCTATGGTTTCAAAACACAAAGCTAAAATAAAAATCAAATACACAAGCTTCTCTATGGCAGACAGTTCAAGGTTAAAGAGCATTGTTAGAAATACTAAGGCTGAGGAAATGAATCTTTTAAAAATTGTCCACCAAATAACTTCGAATGATAGGTGCAATCTTCTTGTACGACAGAAAGCACACCACTTTCCATGCCTACGCAATAAAATGATGCTATCATGTATAGATAAGAGAATTAATATACCATGCAACCCAAGAAGGATCTGAGAAATGGGGTAGAAAGATGCGGCTCAGAATTCTGCAAAAAGCTTCCAACGGCTTAAATCGGACACTTGGAGAACTGCGTTTCCATGAATAAATTATTCTGGGGATTGAAAATCACGCAGGAAGGGCTATGAAATCATAACAGTCAATACGAACTTCACTATGAAGTATCCACGCATAAAGATATGTTGCATTAAGCAAGGAAGTAACTGTTTACAACGTTTATTTAAACATCTTTTTGTTTGGAAAAGAAAAATAATTGCCAAATCTATCAAAGTATTTTACTAAGCACAAATGCAGAACTATGTAGAAAGAGGAAACATTATGAAATTTATGACTAAGTGTGTTTTGTGCAACACTAGGGTACGTTTCAAAGCTTTCTCGTTTCTGGCTGTATACAAAAGTAAAAAGAAGGGCGTTTTCATTCATTGAAAACAACAGTAAAATACTGCCTGGTTTATGCTGGTTATTTTCACCATACAGTCCTGACATACGTTCCAAGACTGATTCGATTTTCATTATTCCTTTCGGGTAACTGGAAGAGGAGGAAAAGCAAAGCCGTACGCTCAACAGTTCGCTTCGTAACTGAGAAAAATTCAGCAGTGGAATATACCATTAGGCACCCAAGAGATTGAGCGGCTAGGGCAGACAAAAGAGAAAACGGCCACAGACGAACATGAGCCGCGAAAAAGATGAGAATCGGTCCCACGTGTAACTCGAGGACTGGACAAAACCCCGCTCGGCGCTGCCGGCGAAATGAGCAGATTTCGGGGCATTCACGGCTCTCCTTGCTTCCCTGGAGTCCACCCCTGGAGCGCAGGGAAAGGCCCCAGGGCTCTGACAAGGAGCTCTAAGCCCCCTTCCAGCGCTTCGCAGTTCCCCGCGGCGCCCCCTCCAGCGCTGTATTTCACCGCACCCCAAAAAGTCACTCCCCCCGACTTCAACTACTCGCCTCAGAAAGGAGAGCGCGCGCAAGAGAGCTGCAGCTGCTGGGTCGGCCCTCTCAGGGCTCCCGGGCCGCCAGGGACCCTCGCGGGGCGGCCCGGGAGGGCCTGAGACCAGCGGCCACGGGACTTTGGTTACCTTCTCGCGCTGGTCCCAGCTGTACTGCTTCGGCCGCTCCTCCCCGCCCTCGGGCTGCGACTCCTTCTCAGCCTTCCGCCTGTTGGAGAAGAAGCACCCCATGGTCCCGGTGACTCCCCGCCGGGCCGCTCGTTCAGGTACCCTCTGGGAGTGTGGCGTGAACCCCGGGCGCCCGGGCCCCGCAGCTCTCCGGACACCGCCCAGCAAAGGCGCCCAGCAGTACTCAGCCCGGTTAGCCCGCCAGGCCCAACACCCCTTCTCTTTCTCCTCTCAGTCGCCCAGACCACCCATCGCAGCCAATGACCACTCAGCGCCCGGCGAGCCAATCAAAGCCCCGCGAGCCCTGCGCGGCCTATGAAGAGAGGCCGACGTACGCACACAACCAATCCACGCCCCGCTCCGGCGCCAGCCCCCAGTGGCGGGCCCTGCGGGCTCTGGCGCACGCACAGCCAACCCCGCCCCCGGCCCGGCCCCGCCCCCCCGAGGACTCCGTGGGGTTGCTGCTCAGAGTCCTGCTCAAAGTCCTGCTTCGGCCGCCGTGTCTCTTTGCCCTTGGTTCTCAGTTTCCAAGTTCTAGGCGCGGGAAGGATCCCTAGTTGAACATTAAGCTTCAGTTTTATGATGCAAGTGGTGAGGGAACAGGAATTGCGGCTGACACAGGAAGAGGCCCTGAAATTCGTAATTTTCCCCTCCTTTCCCCCCGCCGCCCCCCCACATTGTCTGACTAGTGTCGTCCCCTTCAGAAACTTCCCCCAGCCGCACCCTCTTGCCTTCTCTTCCGTGCTTTCTTAATATTCCTACATATCACTCTTAAAATTGCACAAGTACTTAGTAAAATAATTATTTGGGTATTCTTTCCCTATTGGAAATGTGAATTTCTTGAGGCCAAAAGGCCTGTCTTAAAGAGCACGTATCTTTGAATTCCCTAGGCCTGGCTCAGCTCCACGCTAGGTGCTCAATAAAACGTTTGTCAAATGAATGCATGAATGAATGCATGCTAGTGAAGGAAGTATTTATAACCTCTTTTATATATTCCTTATCAAGAAAGTGACTTAAGTGTGTGTGTGTGTGTGTGGTGAGGGAGAAGGGGGAGTTATAGTAAAGGGGTACTTCTTGTGAAATTTATAGCCTAGTGGAGGACATAAGCATTGCCATATAAGCAGTCAGGTCTAAGCAAGTGGTATAGGGTTTGTGTGAAGGTATTAAATATATATATATAAACACTAAATATTAACATTTGTTACACTTGGGCCAAATTTACTACAATACACATATATTGCTTATGTGATAGAAAAGGGTGCCTGGGTGGCTCAGCGGGTTAAGCGTGAGACTCTTGATTTTGGCTCAAGGCATCATCTCAGGGTGGTGAGAAGGAGCCCCCCTCCCAAGGCTCTGAGGGGTGGAGCTTGCTTAAGATTCTCTCTCTCCCTCTCCCTCTGCCCCAGCCCTCCCTAAAAAAAGGCAAGTTGTTGCTTTAATTCTCTGAGTACGGTATTTTGACATCTTGGTAGGACACCAAAATGCGGATCAGCTCAGGTTCAAATTTGGTTATCTTTTTACTTTCCCACACTTATTCACATCTAGTGTATATTGTAAATGAGTCTCTAACTTAATTTGAGCATTAAGAATGTTCCCTTTTTCACTTCCTGCCTTTTATTGCACAATCAGGAAGAAAAGTGCATGTGCTCAAGTGTTAGAAATTACTGCAAATTTAAGTTCCAGATCTTAGGCAATAGGGCCTTTACCCTGTACATACTTTTTCTTCTTCTGATTGAAATGAAAGGTCTAGGTGAGGGTGTTTTGGATAAGACCCCTAGATATTTTATAGTCATACAATGTTAAAATTGTGACCACCATGTAGTGCAGTAGGGGAAACAGAGGTCTACGGAGATGAAGGGACTAATCCGTGTCACAACGAGAGTGGTTGACCAGGGACTAGAAAAACCCAGAGCCTGTGTTGTCCAGTGCTCCCTCCTACCCTGAATGCGTTCTTTTCTGATTCATCTGAAATAAAGAAGTAAAGAAGTATCTGTTTACGCCTTCTGATGCCTATGGGAGCTCTGTCCTTCAGTGATGCTCTTCCTCTTAATGAACAAACAACAAAACCAATTTTAGAGAAACCATCCCGAAAACTCCCCTAGGTTTGAAGTATTCATTAATGAGAAACTCAAACCTAAAACAAAAATCTATATCCGACAGTGATCTTTGCAGGGACCCTAAGCAAAAGGGAAGATAAAGTCCCCATTCTGTTAAATCCCATCCCACCATCACCCCCAGCCAAAAATAAAGAATCAAATTAAATGAAAATTTAAAAATTGGGGACTAGAAAGCCAAGGAACAGAGCTAGTAATAGAGTTCTGCCATGCTCTTTCTTACTCTTTCTTTTCTGCTCCTCTCTCTGTTTTTCTCCCCTCTCCCCACCTTGGATTCTCATCACCACTTTTTTTTTTCATCACCACTGTTTGGCGCAAACCAATTCCCTTTACGTACTCGTCGGCATACACCATATATGTGGCTGAGAACAGCCATCCCAGCCTGATTCCTCATGGCCTTTCTGTCCAAGTGTATGCTACAATCTCTTTATATCTTAGTTCAGATTCTCAAGGAAGATAACCACATAAATTGGTGGCCAGTCAATACCAGGATGGTTCTCCCTCGGTCAAATGTACACCTTTGGTCTCACTGCTGCAGCTGCACAGATGAACTTCATATCACAAACATGGGTGGGGAGCAGGTACTACAAAGGGGACATGGGCTGGCAGTTCTTAACTCCGAAGAAGAGTCCAGGCAGAAATCGGTTGTTCCTTCAGCCTATCCCCCTCCTGCTACTTACACCCTGTGACTTCTTTTCTGTAGAAGGCTGCCCTTTGTATTCAGCTTAGATATATTCAGCTATGTTAAAAAGGTGGGTTGTGGGTTTGTACCTGGCCACAGGTCCCTGAGAGAGTCTGGGTTTCCCATGTGTCTTGGCCACAGAAGTGGCATAGTTACTTCTCGGAAGACAGACCTGAAGAGGTCTATTTCCACAGCATGAATAAGTCAATTACCCCAGCAACAGCAGCTGGAAAAGTCCCTGTTCTTGAGTTGACCCGACACATGCTTGCTCACTCTGCACTCAATGAAGGAAACACTTGACAAGTGAAGGAGAAGGGAAGGGGAGGAGTGTTCCCATTACTTACCGCTGTGTAACAAATTGCCTGAAACTTAATGGCTTAAACAACAATTACTTGCTTTGCTCACGAATCTGAAACAAAGGCAGGACTCTGAGGGGACAACTGAACTCCGTTCAATACTGCATGCGTTCGAGGACTCGAATGGCTGGGGGACTGGCCAGAAATCACTCTATGTGAAATCTCAGGGCCTCTCCATGGGATCTCTCCAGCAAGGTCGGGCTTCCTCTATCGTGGGATAGTGGGATGGTCGGGCTTCTTCTATCGTGCTGAGGGCTCCAAGAGTGAGTGTTCCAAGAGACCAAGACAGAAGTTGCAAGGCCTCTTAAGATGTGGTCTCAGACATCACGCAATATGGCTTCCCCTGGATTCTACTGGTCACACAGGGCTGGCCCGAATTCATGAAGGGAGGGGACTGAACAAGGGAATGAATACTGGAAGGCACGGATCTTTGGGGTGTCATCTCAGGGACTGGCCACCACAGCTGGAGTCAACTCCATCAGTAGTACCACATACATACCGAAGAAGATGATTGGAAGGTTAAAAAAAAATTGCACAGGCAAATAACTGTTTCTTTCTTTTCATAGACTTTTGAGCCAACATTTTTCTCATACTTTAGCTTTTAGGTACTTCTTACCGATTTTCTTTTACTACCTTATTGACCAATTCTATTTCTAAAAGCATCACAAATTGTGTGTAAACAGGTTTTTCCTACTGCTCTTAGCATGGGATATCTTATTCACTGTTGTTGGTAAGATTCTTAATGTAAGCCAAGGAAAATATATTCAAACGTTAGTACAGAAGAGGAATAACAGGGGAAACAGACTTCTAACTCAGATTGGGCTGGGGAGGGTGGAAGAGTCTAGAAAGACTTCTCAGAAGTCAATGGATTTAGCAGCATAAAATAAAAATAATTCCAGTAACTTTTTATAGCAAAGCAGTTCCAATGGAAACTATTTAAAAAAAAATAGCTTCAGGACTAAAAAAATTTTTTTTCTAGTGGAATTTCCATCTTCTAAATATTCATCTCAATACTTTTCAGGAAAGGGACAAACTATGATAAAACTAAGAGCTAATCAGAGCATGTTAGTTCATGAAATTTGTTTTTATTCTTGAGATTTTATTAACAAAAGAGAGCTGCTTGCTATTTCACCCATGCTAAATGAGAGATAATATTTTTTACTTTCCTCTACACATGGAGACAAAAAAATAAGTCTTAATCTGACATCTAGAAGATCCCGACCCACATAATTGCTACTCGTCAACATTTGTATAGTATAAAAATAATTCCAGAGTAGTGAAAAAGAAAGATTTGGGCGAGATAACTGATGCCACAAGGCAAAAGTTTTAGTAAAAGGAGATCTGATAACATTTCCTAAATCTTATACGAGAAAATGGTTATTATCGCATAGATGGCCATTAGCTAGGCAGGCCTGGCACTTCCTGGGACTTTTAAGAGTAGGATTTCTTTCCTCCTCCACCTCTCCCAGTTCCTGACAAAAGTAGAGAAAAAGTGTTCATTCTAGACAAAAATCTTTCCTAAGAGCTGCTCTGCTGGTTTAGTATGATGCTCACCTCCTCAGCTTCCTGCCGCAACCCCCAGCTGCATAGTACATTCTAAGACCAGGATGAGAAAGTGAACCAGGGACGAAGAGATCTCTTTGGTACTTCTTTCGTGTGCTCACTAATTCTTGATGCCAAGGATGGCATCGAATAAACAACAATTCACTCTAAGACAGGGAGAAACCCAGGATTAGTAGGGTTTGAAGTTTATACAATTTGGATTGGGTCCTTTTTTAAATTGAGATATAATTGGCATACAGCATTATATTAGTTTCAAGTGTACAATGTAGTGATTTGATATTTGTATACCTTGTGAAATGATCACCACCATAAATCTAGTTAACATCCTGCCATATATACTTACAGAATTTTTTTATTCTGATGATGAGAACTTTTAAGATGTACTCTCTTAGCAATTTTCAAATATGCAATACAGTAGTCACCACGCTGTATGTTACATCCCCAGAACTTTTTTAAATTTAATTTTTTAAATTTAATTTTATTATGTTATGTTAATCACCA